TCATTTGTTTATCGGGGATAAGGAAACAATGAAGTTGCTTTTTACAAGAAGCAAATTAACTCGGATTTTTTTAGATCATCACCGCAGCCAACCCAGCAGAACTACAATGTAACAACAAAAAGACCGGAAAAACGTGTGGTTTTATTGTAGGACTCTGCGTGTAAATATATGGATATAGTCTAAATCGATGTACATAGTGTAAATCTGAGCATATAAATCTATGTATAGAATATAAATATCTGTACGTGTGTGTGTAATGTATACACACACACTGCATTTAGTAAGATGTTTTGTTAAATTTGAATTTCTAACGTGCCGAATGAATTTCTAACGTGAAAAATATGCCGTAACTTTGGCAAGAAAGCATTTAAACCGTTCGAATTCTTTGTGTGACAACTAAACACGAGCCCTGATTATCCCGGGCAATGTTGTCACCATCTAGTGGCGCTATCTAGAACTACACCACTTCTGACAGTTCATTTTGCAAGATAAATCCGCAAGAGATTATAAACTTGTAATTGGTTTGTTGGTTTCATTTTTTCTTCTCAGTGAATCGCTGTGGTCCCAGCCATGACTTAAACAATATTCCGCTAATGGTTAGCTATGCTAATTCTGTTTTAGTACATGCCAGTGTAGTTTGGGGCTGTCGTATAAAAGTGGTGGACAAAACACATTTTTGTTCAATGTGAAAAAAATAACACCTTTGTAAATTAATGTAAAATCCTATAAACATTCCTAAAATTAAAATGGTCATAACTTTCCTGAAATCTGCTCTGATTGTTTGTGCCAGTGATGTAACTGATAACAGTCATTTACAATGACAAAGACTGACAAGAGTGATTTTCCATCCTGTTGCAAAAGCAGTTTGTACAATAACTGCCAGTTAATTGGTCATTTTGCAATCATTTTTGCACACAAAACCAAATAATTGTCATTAAAGACCTTTGTCATATCAGGCAAAGAAATCATCCCATCCCATCCAGTGTAGGATTATAATAAGGCTCTGTTCACACCTATGTACACGTTAATGTGTTTTTTTGTAGGTTGTCACAAGCTGCGTTACAGTGATATTAAAGTAATGTGAAACTCAAATGTTTTTTCAATAATGAATCCAGATCAAACAAACATACATTGCGCAGAAAAGTATTTCCTTCAACTTTTGCCCATGCACTTACAGTCATCATGTTTCTGAACAGCTGGTTCAAGCTCTCTCAGCTTGGCTTCCCTAAACTTCTGGTCCAGTACAAGATCACAAGGGACAGGGCGGACTCCAGCAGCTCCATCTACCCGCTTGGAGAAGGGAGAAGGAAGGAGACGGGAGAAGGGAAGAGGAGACTGGCTTGCTTTGCTGTCCCTGTGTGTTTGTGGAGACACACAAAGCTTACTAGGACACACAAGGGTGGCTCTATAGGACCCAGCGAGGGAAAGGAGCCAACGTAAAACAGGAAATCAGGGCCAGTGCTCAGGGGACTAGCTGATTTGCAGGAAGCTAAAACTTTTACAGATCAAGAAGCAGCATCCATTGTAAGTGATTTCATCAACAGCTTAAAACCCTTTTGACTTTAATATCACTATAAAGTCAAACATTGTTTAAGCTTTTTTAAATGCTGATTAAATCACTTACAATGGATGCTGCTTCTTGAGATTTAAACGTTTCAGTTTCCTGCAGACTCAGCTGGTCTCCTTAGCACTGGTAGGCAGTCCAGTCCAGGTGTTTTAGTCACTTTTATTCTGTCTTGACACCATTGCATTGCAGTAATGTGAATGTTAACGCACATTACACATGTTGCTGTATACACATTGGTCCATTGTGTAGTCAGTTATTTTAATGAATTCACTATTGTGTGTTGCAGTGTGTTGGGAAAAGAGGTGCAGGTATGTTTTTTGTCTGTTTTGATATGTTGGCAGCTCATTTAAAGGAGAACTATGAGGTGAGTGACTTACACGCATCCTTATAGTTAGAGCCGACGTCTGACGTCTGAAACTGTCACAAGTTGACTCTATAGACCGGGAAGTGAGCAAACACATACCGTCGCTCGCTCACTTCCCGATCATCTCCCAGAGAGAGTGGTGACTGTCAGTCACTGCTCCCTGCAGGGTTGTGCTCCCTCTCCGATCCTCCAGCGCTGCCTGGAGGAACGGATGGGGGAGGGGCGGGCACAGCTGGCTCTGCCTCTAGATGGGTGGGTCTCAACAGTATTTAAGGGGTCAGTCCCGTCTGAGGAGCTCTCAGTATATAGCGGGAAATAGCCCGCTATATACTGAACTTTGGGTCACGGGAGAACGTTAGTATATGTCCTCCTGTGACCCTAAAGAGAACTATGGGATAAAAAGGTTACCCCATAGTTCTCTTTTAAATGAATAGGCTGCGTAAATGCAACGCATGTTAATGCGCTACATAACACGGATTATTGCAATGCTCCAGAGCAGACTGGTGAGAAGGTGTCTTAATGGTTTAAAAGATAACTATGGGGTAAGTGTTTTTCCCCATAGTTCTCTTAAGGGTCACTGGAGGACATATGCTAGTGTCCTCCCATGACCCAAAGCTCAGTATATTGCGGGCTACAGCACGCGGTATACTGAGACCGCTGCAGCCGGGATGGATCCCGACATTACTGTCGAGATCCAATTTGCAGGTTTGCAATACCTCTTTAAGGGCCCGTTCGCACTAGCCCATCTGCTAAAATGCTCCGTTTTAGCGGGCGGGCTAGTGCATTGGGCAGCTCCAGCAGAGTATGGTGTAACGTACACTGCCGGAGCTGCCACTGTTTACATTTTTTTCTTTTTTTTAACGTTATTGGTAGTGTACAATGTGTACATTCTATTAAGGTACCCGCACAGAGGTGTGGTGTGCTGTGCTGCCATGCGGTGGCATCCAGTGTGCTGTGGAAAAGTGTAGCACGTCTGCATTTTTCCACAGTGCTGCGCACCACCGATAACACTCATGTTGACGTGTGAACAGGGCACATGGAAAACAAATGTTTTTTATGTGCCCTAGCGGAGATCTGTTGTTTTTGAAAAATGCGGGTCATCACTATAGTGCGAACGGGCCCCAAAGTAGAACTGAAGCCAAGGGTTTCATTTTCTTGTTTTGAAAAGAGCCGGGGAGGGTTATAACCCCTGTCAGCTTTTTTATGCTATTTGTGTCCCATTGGGTAGATTTTCCTTCACTTCTTGTCTGATAACCACTGCTCCAAGCTCACTCCCGTGATGGACTATAATCTCACATTTAGTTTACTCATTTGTATTGAGATTGTAATCCATCACGGGAGTGAACTTGGAGTGGTAGCTAGTTTACAACATACAGAGACCAAGGGGAACAAAAGTAGCCACCCTCCAGAAGGAAGAACAGTGTCAGCACCAGTGACGTGCTGTGCCTTCTGTGCTAGGTGAGGCATCCCCCAGCCTGCCGAAGCTCCGCCCCATCCCGCCGAAGCTCCACACCCATCCAGATGAAGCCCCACCTCCAGCTCGGTAACCAAGCTGTGTGGGAAGGAGGAAGGGAGGAGACAGGGAAGAGCCTCCCTGTCCCTCACTGGCGAGGCATCGAGATTGATCTCCTCACAGTTTTTGTTTTTTTGATTGGACAGCTTGGACCAATGGCGCTTTGCTATTGGTCCAAGCCATCCACATATCTCACGCCTCTAACACAGAGTAGAGGCTGTGACAGTTCTTGCCTCACCATGTATGGTTACACAAGCAGTGGGGAAACCCGCTGCTGTGTAACCTAACTACCTGTCAAAAGCCGGATGCAGCGCTGCCTGTAATTAACAGGCAGCGCTCCGTCCATGACAGGTTCAACAGCGGGGAGGCTTTCCCTGCTGTGTAACCTGTAACAAGCTGCTCTGAATGGAGAAAAAGCTGTCAGCTTCAGACTTGAAGCCGACAGCTTTTCCCTGCATAATACTAGGTGATACTCTGCCTTACCTGCCTCCCCTGACCGCACGTCCCTGGTCAGCACAAATTCGGAGATGATTTGAGGATCTACAGTGATACAGTGAGTGATGCACAAATAAACTACGGTACATTTTTTTGTTAATACTTAAGGTACTTAAATGTATTTTTAAGATTTAACTCCTGAGTTTAGTGCTCGTTTTGTCTAGGGGTTCAAATAAAGCAGATTTACTCACCTGATCCTTGGTCCGGCTGGCTCCCTCCGGGCTGGTAGACTGGTCCCCGCAGCCTCCTCTCCCTTACAGCCTCCTCTCTCTTGGACTCCGGCGGTCTAAGGACTGCTGATGTCATCACATCTTATGCAGATCCATTGACGTAGACATGAGAGTCCATAGACATAAGGACTGTGAGGGACATTCCATTGCCAGAGCGGAGGGGGAGAGAGGTGAGCGCTGACGGCCGCAGGACCGAGGATCAGGTGAGTATATCTGTTTTATTTGAGCACCCTAGACAAAACCAGCACCTAGCTCTTGCAGTGCAGGTGTAGCCACACTGTAGGCAGGGGCGTATCTGCCGCGAGGCAAACAAGGCGTTTTCCTGGAGCGGCAGATTCGCAGAGAGCGGCACCCCGGGTCAAACTACTCACGCGGATCACGGATGGGATGACGCGGACCGTCGGCCTGGAGAGTGGACGGCGTGACGGCGCATTGCTGTGTTAAATACACAGCTGACTGTAGGTACATTTGTGATTTTCCCAGAGATTGTTTTTAACTGAAATGTGCAAATGTTTTTTTTAACCTGAGTCTGGCTTATGAGACTGTTATAAACAATGTTTTGTGAATTATAAAGTGAACGAAGGGTTGAAATAAAATACATTTAAAGCGTTCATTTCCCAGAAACTAAAGCCTTTGGACTGATTCACTGAACACTTTAGAAGTTACCACCGTCTACGCTGCCTTGCACTTGGAATGAACCACAATTACAATGAAACCACGACATGGGAGAAGGTTCAGAAGAGCACATTGCGCCTGTGCGTTATTTGTCCTCTGACTGCGGGAGGAGCGTTCTGCGCATGCGTTGTGTTACCAAGCTCGGTCAGTACGCATGTGCGGGATGCCGGGCTGTTGGCGGCGCTCATGCCAAATGTAACCTCTCGCTCAGGGTGTTCGGAGAAAAGCTGCGCATGCGCAGTGTTCTTAACAGGTCGGCCGTCTGGCCCCGGGGAGAGTGTCGGATCCATGGGAGGATGAAGGAGATGGTTGGAGGTTGTTGCGTGTGCTCGGATGAGAGGGGCTGGGCCGAAAACCCGCTGGTCTATTGTGACGGGCACGGGTGCAATGTGGCCGTGCACCAAGGTGGGGCAATTTGTTCTAGGGGAGGGGCAAATGTTGACAGAAGGGGAGGTGTAAAAACATCGGAGGGGCAACTATTATAGAGAAAAACGATCAGGTCGGGATCACAGCAAGGGAGTGTTAGTAAGGGACAGCTATAAATATCGGTGACACCTAAGAAGGGTCATCATCTGTGTTAAAGATACATGTGTACAGGTTACTAGCTCTTGTCTCTGGTGTCACCTGTGCAGTGCTGTCATCCTGATGTTGACATGTCTGCTGGGTTTATTATACATATGCTTCAATTTTAAATGTTTTCACAGTTGGTCTTCAAAACTATAGCATAATATCCTTATTTACCTGTGTCATAGGTCAAGTGCTTATTATCTGTTTATGTTGTCTTGGCTTTTTAGTTTAGATTTGCAAAATAAAGCCAGATTTTACAGCTGTTAATTTCACAAGCAAGGTTCCTATCCAGTGTGGTAAACTGAGTATGTCATTGGGGGGAATTAATAAAAACTGGAGCAGACAGAATCTGGGTTGAAACCTGTGACAACCAATCCGCTTTTAAGTTTAATTATCAAAGCTTGACTGAGGAGAGACCCTGATGGGTGGCTTTGGGCCACTGCTTCAGATTCTGTCTGCTCCAGTTTGTATGAATTCCCCCCATTGGGTAATGCACTCAGGTCTAACCTGCTTTGTTTTGAACCTAGCACTGCTTGCGAGAATAAACTCAGGCACTCGGCCCCTAGGGCCTGTCAGCGTGGTGCACTGGCACTTATTATTTATTGCACTCTATGCACGACACACGATTGGCCTTTTTTTGGCATTGACCCACAGATGCTGATGGTGCAGGTTTCTTCGGGGCATATTCCTGACGCTGGGAGGAGATTCTGTGCCTCCTACGGGGTTCTCTGTCTCAATCTTATAAATGCATTCAAGTAACAAAAATTTAGCTTATTTGTGTATCGGGTTTAGAGCCTCAAATCATCTGTTCCAAGCTGGCTCCTGTGATGGACTACAATCTCGCATTTAGTTTACTAATTTGTGTTGAGATTGTAGTCCATCACAGGATTGAGTTTGGAGCGGTTGCTACTTTACAACACACACAGGGACCAGGGGGAACAAAAGTAGCCACCCTCCAGAAGGAAGGACAGTGTCAGCATGAATTCAGAGATGATTTGAGGATCTACAGCTGAGTGATTCACAAATAAGATACATTTTTGTAATAGTTGTGTTACCTGAATGCATTTTTAAGATGAACTCCTGAGTTTAGTGTCACGTTAAGCTTTTAGCGGAGTAAGGGAATTTTATATTATTAACAGGCCATCATAGTAAATTCTATTTAAAGTGCATCTCTTGATTTACCTCTCCATTTTTCCTGGTAACCACGGTCACTAGGGTTGCCACCTGGAGGTAGGGGGAAAGCTTCCAGTGGGGACACTTGTTCTGGGGCAGATGTTTAAGAGAGATTTGCTCCAACATACTGTTGTGTCTTTGGGACAGGAAGTGCAGGCAAATTTCCCAAATGGTATACAGACCGTCCCACATTGGTAAGAGCTGTGGGGAGAGATGCTGAGTCTGCAGAGGGTAGCATCACTCTCCTTTCTGGTGGCGCTGTCTCCTCTAGCCTACTCCCACGTGCTCCACCACCTCCACTCTTACCACCTTAGGTGGCAAAATGTCTAGGGACAACACTGATGACTCATGGGCTGTGGGGTCTGGTCTAGCAGTCAGGAGCTGTCTTAGCTCCATGTCGCTCGTCGCTGTCACTCCAGCATGACCATTTTTTCGGCGGATTTTGCGTAATGTTTCTATTATTTAATGGAGCCCGAAACGTTGCGCTATCCCTGCCGCGCGGATCCGCTGCAAAAGGTATGTCGCTTAGTGTGAATGGGGCTTTACGTGCCTTAAGGGAGTTTATGTTACACCACCATTTGGAATGTTTTGACTTCAACATCTTTTGAGCCTGGATGTTTGATGTAAGGGTAAGATTGTAAGATTGTTGGGTTTTATCACCAGTTTACACCGTCTCCAGTCCGTGCCAGCACAGTTAGCTGCTGGGACGCCCTGGATCGCATACTGTGAAGGCTCCCTGCGTAAAGCACTATTTTCTACGATTGCACTTGACCGGAACGCGGGCATTGTTAAGCCATGACTTGAATGCAACGCCACTCCCCCTCCCGCCCCAGAGAACGCAGGGAGCCTTTACAGTATGCGATCCAGGGCGTTCCACCAGCTAACCGTGCTGGAACGCACTGGAGATATTGTGAACTGGCCCTTCGAGAGGCAACTCTTGGACGAGGCACTGGCACCTGGATGAATGTGGGGCTGGTCTCGCTAGCATCAGCAGACTTGGTTTCTATGTGTCAAGATGGGATGATGTGTAGTCTTCCAAAAACAGACCTGTTCCATAGTAAAACTCCCTGGAGCTTCTTTTTAGAATTGATTTGAGGGATTGTAATTCTGGTAAGGCATGATGTGGTATGCAGATTTTTGGCTCCTGCAGCAAGATCTGAATTCTAATTTTGCAGTTAATGATTCCTGTAAAATTTTATTTTTTCCACTTTTGTAATCGATATTTTGACACTCAGTCATACATTGGGGGGAATTTATCAAAACTGGAGCAGACAAAACTCTGGAGTAGATTTACACTGCAACCAAAGGGTTTCTCTGTCTCATTTTTAAATGTTACCTGATCAAACCTGAGAGATGCTGATTGGTTGCCATGGGCAACTGCTCCAGATTTTGCCTGCTCCAGTTTTCCAGTTAAATTCCCACCTTTGTGTTTGTGAATATTTTGTAGCTACAACAGACATTTTCCATAATGTACAAAAGGGCATCTTATGCAATTTTTTCCCTAATGCAACTATTTTCCCTCTATTCCTGCAATGAATATTATTTTCTCTTTTTTTTTTTGGATGGCAAAAAAGATCGCACGGTTAGATCTTTAAATCATGTTTGTGTTGCCTAAGGTTTGCAGTCCCTTTAACTGTGGAATATGTAAACCCAGGACTGGTAGCAGGTGAAGTAGGTGACGTAGTGGAAGATTTGTTCTCTTAACAAGTTTAGTTTGACATGTGTGTTTTATGACAGATGCATTGGATTTAATCAATATCTGATTGTCATGTTATAGGTGTGTTTTGATTGTGACGAATGTGCAAGCATATAGTGCAGAAGCCTGCAATGGTCGGGTGCCAGGCCCGGTGTGGTTAGCATGCGCTGTCTGTGACAGGCGGATGTGGCTTTTCTAATATTGAGCTATAGATGGCAGGAAACCTGACAGTGGAGTAAGGTTATGTCTTGCGGTTAGAATAGTACAAGATAAACTTAGAAATGGGTTATGCTGTTTGCAGTAGTTGCTATGAGTGCATAATACTAGGTTTGCAAACATACAAAAATGTTACCAAGGATCGAACAATATTTGAATGAATAAACCAAAGTTTGCGTTATATACGTTACATATTAGGTAATGCGCTTCCCCAATGCAGATGCATTCCTTTCATAGATGTTAGCCCACTTTGTCTGTCTTCAGTAAAAAGAAGGGCGATCGCATATTTGATATCCAGTGACCGATAAACTGATCTTTAAAGCCCAACCCTGGGCTCAATCTTACTGGAGTACAATAAGATGTACAACGCCTTTTTCTAAAAAAAAGCAACCTGCAATATTCAGTACTGGCGCTGAACTTCCGTGCCGTTCCAGGTTTGGGTTTATGGTCTCATAGCCCTTAGTGGTGCAGCTGCATCTTTGTCCCCATCTCCTCCTGGCCAATTGCAAAGCAAACTGCTTAAGGCCCCGTTCACATATAGCGACATACCTTTTGCAGCGGATCCGCACGGCCGGGATAGCGCGACTTTCGGGGCGACGTTCCAGCGACGATCCAGCGACGGTAGCGCGACCTTCCCCGTCGGGCTCCATAGAAAAAAAGTAAAATCGCGCAAAATCCGCCGAAAAAAGGGTCCGGTAGAAGCGACTTGCGACCGCGACGAGCGACGCGCGACATGGAGTTAAGACAGCTCCATTGAATAACATTGGCCGGCGACTTCTCGCGATATCGCGCGGCAAAAATGCGCGATATCGCGGCGGAAATCGCGCGACAATTCGCTATATGTGAACGGGGCCTTAGGCTCTGTTTTGTGATTGGCCAGTAGGAGAGGCAGACAGAGATGTGACTCCGCTCTGAGACCTGAAGTGCTACAGCCAGAGCAGAACACTGTACCTCTTACTGTACTCCAGAAATATGATTGGTCTTAAGGCCTTGTTCACCAGGCGCGTTCCAGGAGCAGAGCAGTTACAGACCAGATCAAAACTGCGTCCAATGTATTCCAATGGTATTTTGGGCTCTGGTTCACACTGCCTCAGTTGATTTTGAACTGGTAACAGTCCTATACAGCAGGGCTGGGGTTTCAGAGGCAGTACAAGGACCCAGTCAGTTCATGTGCTCATCACTGTGCTGCTTCCCATTTTACAGTCCAGTCACAGGCTGGCAGTGGGCCTGGGATGACCCAGAGTTAAGAGGAAGTGGGTTAAATAATGTTGGCCGTCTTTGAATTGAAGTTGAATATTGCAGCAAAAGCTAGTTTGCTTATTTAATCTTTAATAGGGTATTTATTTTTACCTTGTTATTTTTGGCTGGATGGCTGGAATTCTGCTTTGATATTTTAACCTCCCTGGTGGTATGATTATTCAGGATTTTAGCATCCAAAAGCGGTACATTTCATGGAAATTTGTTGTTTTAAATTGTAGGCCTGTAATTCTTAGTAAATCTTAGGAGTAACTCACCATTCCCCAGTCTGGCTCGGGGTTACCGCTCCTGGTATTGAAAATTAACCCCGAGCCAGACTCGGGAATACCGCCAGGGAGGTTAAAGTCAAGGGCTGCAATATTCTTTATATTACAAAAGTGTTGATTTAACCCCTTCATGACTGAGGCCTTGAAAAAAAAAAATGTTGCACCCATGTTATTTTCCACATTTTACATAGTTACATAGTTACATAGTATTTGAGGTTGAATAAAGACAT